TCTTAGGATTGTTGTCACTCATAAAATGATTTATACGTACAATATACTTCTGTCTTCATTATATTTCACTTATAAAGAGAAGTTTATATATACAACATGACGCATTCAAAGTGAAACCTCTTAATGCACACTGTGCGTTGAGTTCACACATTCTGTGCATTTTAATTGGGTGTAATGCTTTCATAAAAGGCTCTGTAAATAATTCTTATGAATGATGAGAATAGACTGATTACTTTATTCTATGTAGTTCAAAGTCTATTATTTTTTCTGTCTCTCATAAATATGGTTATTTCAGCAAAAAATAAAATGAATTACGAGGCGCACATTCGTGAGCTGAATAATTATTAATTGTTATGATAACAATTTAAAGAATTATATATTTCATTCCTTTGCGTGTGTAATTTCAACAAATAGCAGGGTGTACTCTGAAATCTGCTGCTTTGTGTGCATAATATGAACGGAATATTTAAACTCAGTGTAATTCTAGTTATGTCGCAAGAAAAACAGTCATATTTCCATCGGAAAATAGTGGTTGGAATCGATTCCATATAGTTTTTTCATATAAATAGAATAAATTGCGGAAAAAATTCTTTTTACAGCGATTCTCATTAGAAATTATTCGTTCCTTATACATTATATTGTGCGGGCTAGTGCATTTCTTCCTTACCCAGTAGGCACTAAATTAAGAATTATATTTTTAAATAAACCTAAGTTTTTCTTTTCCATTGAAATTATATATTTTGTTAAATATAGTTGACGTAAATTCTACCATAGTGGCGTATTAGGAATTAAGTGTATATTATTGATCGTCGGCGCATTATTTGTATCGTGTACACGATGTGATACATTTTCCCACAAAATTTATGTATTTATCTACGCAGCTTCTATGTCATTATATGATGTAATTCACTAAGGCACATGTTAAATATACACTGCTCAATATGTTCCCTGATGTGTTTAGTATGATGACTATTTATAAATCCATATAGGGTTTTCTAATGCTTAACATTATGTTCGTAATTTCATCGTAGCCTAGGGAACTTAAGAAATACTTAAGTGAAGTAGTGTCATTTATAATTACTGTATTGCTGCGTGAATATATTATCAACTGCGAAAATTTTGCTATAACGAGATAATATTACGTAAAAATTGAATAAAATTCTCTATCCGTCGTGACTGGTAGAATTGTTCTTTCATTCATAATAGTGGAACTTGATAAAAACATTTATATGATCGTTTCCACTCTGTAATATATGGTACATAAAGGGATATAGGTTTGAGGGTGATGTGCTGTGAATCTCCTCTACCGGGCTCCCATTATTATATATGAATTGGAAGAAAAAGTTAATTATTGACGACAACAAAGAATATCCTTAAAGATATTTCTCAAAATTCCAATGTATAGCTGCGTATTATCTAAATTATGAATTATGTGATTCATTGTAAATGTCCCTTGAAATAGCTTTTTTTTCTACATTTTGTTTTGTGAGGGACCTGACTAAACATTGTGACATTCATCCTGTAGCCGCAGGCCTAGTTTATCATGCGATACACAACTTAGCAATGTAGATGACATACCGATTTTCATAATTATATGCATACATATCCTTGCATATGCGTATAGAATAAAATTTTCATATAATGTTTATTATTGAGAGAGCACTTTTTTTTTATGGCGATTATGGTTCCTGCGCGGCTTTTGTATTGCGTAATTCATATCCTAGGCGTATTGTCCTGAGAGGAGGACCATAGGGAATTGTACCTTTCATAATGCATTACCAAGGTTTCTATATGTATGTTAAACGTATGAAATGTGAAGAGACATATGAAGAAAGACGCGATTAATTATAAACAAGTCCTGTCATAAAGATATGGTGGAAATAGTATTAGTAATGGTGGAAAAAACTAAGAAAAGAGGAATGAGGCACTAAGGATATCCGAGTCAGCATATTTCAATTATTTCCTATTGAAGTGCTTTCGCAATTATTACGAGTAGCCATATTATAGAACGGTTTAGGGTTTCATTTCATGGTTGAGCGTTCAATTGTCAACCTTTATATATCCGTCAGCACAGTTCACATCAACAAGGAACCATTGTCGTATCTTATTCTATAATTTGCCCTGAAAGCAAAGGATAACTACAACGATGGTAAGTGAAAATGAAGGTAAATAGGCATGAACATGTATCGTGACATGAATGAAATAAAACTTAATTTCGCAGAAAATAACAATTGTGCACGAGTGGGAACATAAGAAATATTTGCAAGGTCCTTAGAAAAAGTAGACGGCATAAAATAAGACGCATCCCCTAGAATTCGTACGTGTTCTTTACTTTTTTCGATTCATCGTAATGTCAATCATTATGATAGTGCAATGCCAGAATATTAACTTCACTCACCTCTAAGAGGAAGCAGCCGGTTATATATAACATAGCGATATATCCACGATTTAAATTGAGCGTTAGTGGATGGATAAATTGTCACTTTGCAGTAGCTTCATGATACCGTATGGATAAAATGAAGAATTCCTTTCTTCTATGTGAACTATTTATGAGAGATTCTCTAATCAGTACATGTCACTCGTGAGAAAATTCGTTCTCTATCTGACACCGCCCGAGGTCAGATTAATACTATCTGTATTAGATTTCCATAACTAACGCTTAACCTTCTTGGTAATAGGGTAGATAGTCCGAAGATTATCTTTGTAAAACCGCATCTGAAGGTCCATTCTCTGGTAAATATCAGAATTTTCCATTTTTCATGTTTAAATACCTGTTGGAGAAACAATTTCTTTAATTTGCGAAGAAAATAATAATGTAGAAGTAGCGCTGACAATGGCTTTCTGCCATCGGGGAGAAACAGTAAGGTATGTGATACGTCACGTCCCCATCCTATTATGTGGCTATATTCATCTATATTCGTCAATCTAAAGAAAGATGAAAGATAACGAAATAAAAGATTCACATTCAGAGAAGCCATCTTTGCAGTTATTCCCGTACAGAGAGTAGCTTGGAGGAATTTTTAGAGGGGTCAGATAATTGGAGAGGTAGTCAATTGTTATGTCTCATTGAAGGACACCAATTGGGGGATGGTGAAAAATCCATTTCTGTAGCGACCTAAATCCAGTTGTTCCTCTTATCCCAGAGTAAAGGATACCTGTCCCTAACTATCACTATTGAATTAAATATATCTGTATAAACTCTTTGGAGCAGCCCTCTTAATATTGTGTTAATTCGCATCTGTTCCATTTCCTGTCTATTCCTGTTGATTAATGTTTTATTCTTTCCATTTTATGATGTACTGAATTACCTTTTTTTTTTTTCTTCTTCTTCTTTAATTTGCTAGTTTGTCCTGAAAATTTTATTTTTTCTTCTACACACAGGTGACTTGGTTACTTCTGTAGTTCTCCTCCTCATATAGCTCTGCAGAGGAGTGCATTTAAGTGCTGTTGGCCTACATCGACTTCGCGCAAGGCAGTAAGTATTACTCGTTGGTCCCTATGGTGTTCCTTCATTTTTAATATTACGTAGATCTAGCCTCGTTTTTCTTCCTTCTTGTAATGTTGGAGGGGGAGTTGCGCGAGGAAGAAATATGCCTCAGGGGAATCGCGATTGATGGGGAACCAAAGCATGATTCATTTTCCAATAGTGGTCGAGTACCATTAGGAACCTAGGGATGGTTAGTAAAGAGTGTCATAGGCGTAATAATATTAATTGAACGAATGAAATCTCATGACAGACTAAACTCCTTGAAACACCATTTAGAGGTAGTGAGCGACGATATTGTTATAGTAAAGGATGAAGATAATTACGGCGACTATGAAGATAGCTTTGTAGAATATTTTAATCAACGTGGGCATCGCTTTTTGGCATTAATTATACCGGCACATGGGACATTAGATTCGTTCGAAGGACTCATTAATAATGTAAAGGAGTTCGACGATTTTGCCTAGGTTCTTTTGCGGTATAGTAAAAACATTCAGGATAAGTTGTGTGGCTACTTTGTTGATGATGAGGGGGGGTCGCACTTTGCTATTGCGAGATGACAAAATATGTGGGAGGACGACCGTTGCCACTTTGATCGTGTGTTTATCTATCGGGGAGAAGTAAAGTTCTAAGGATTCTACAAATATTGCGCAGGTCCCCAATAGAAAATACTGAACTGAACAGGAATGTGTGCGTGTCATTCTCTCGGATGATAACTTTTCAGATCCTACCATCCAGAAGTTCTGTTTTATCGCTGTCGCATTGTTTCCGCCTAGTGTGAGTTGTTGACTCAAAGGTTACAGACAGTGTGATTGATTATCAAGTATCGTTATAGAATATATTTGTATTTTAAATATTTTGTTGAATACGATAAAATTCCAACTAGGGAGGAAATCATGTGTATATTTGGCTATGAATTCTTAAAATCAATCAACAGCTTAGACAATGACATGAAAGACGAACCTAAAGGTTATCTTCACTACTAATTATTCATTCCAAGAGATACATCTTTTCCTATATGGCTCATTGCTACTACCCTGCAACGGACTGAATATAATCAAGAAGAAAATGCACATACTGGAGTATATGGAGCGTACAATCCTTCTGTTGTCCAAGAATCAGAAAAGTTTGGAAAAGCTCGTACATAGGATTATAGATTCATCCACGGAAGTGTGCATCGCGTCCAAAGAGAGCAGGCGGTCTCAGAGAAGTGACATTTCTGGGATGAACAACGCGCATACGATGATTAGCATAGGAGGTGTCTCCCTCTGAGGAAAGAAATGCTCCTGTTCTCTCTTTGAGCAAATATGTATCCATGTGCTAGTGATACAAGGGTATGCAAAATAACGCGAGTGTGTGTCCACCCCGAGAGTAACATCCTGTGGAACGCGTTTGTTTCTTTATTTCTTTCCTTTGTTGACTAGTGTTGATCATCTTATTGAGTAGTGTTTTTTTCTTTATGCTCATTCTGAGCTATTTCCTTTATGGATTATAAAGATAATCTTGTGACTGACACATTTATTTTTTTAGGATGTACTTGGAGGATTTCTGTAGAGACAGTGTAATCTTCACGTAACAATAAGAAATATTCAGAGGGAAGGGGTCCATCTCAAATTGCGGCTGGGACGTAGTAATGGCGTGGTAGTAACGCTTCTACTGCTGGGGTCATTTTTTTTATGCTCTCCAATTCACATTTCACGGAGGAAGCAGAAAACTTCGGAAGAATTTACAGTTCTGTGTGGTGCCACATATGCACTTCCTTTCTTGTTACACTCTTATGAATGAGTGGATGTCACACAGGGTGTTGTAGAAAAACACTTATTATAACGCACAAGAGCAAAGGAACACATGAAACATTTCCTGAACCGAGGTAGCAGAACGGGCGTATGTACATTAGGCTGTTCTGTTGTAAACGTCAATACTACGCCTACCTGATTGTTACCATCACAAGAATTTTCTAGACAATTTTTAATGTTTGTTATTAAATTAATTGGAAATTTAGAAAATCCCTACATATCTTCAATACATTATATGGTTATTAGCAAATGTCTTGTCTCTTTATGAATCTTCTTAGGTGAAAACGAACACATTTATTTTTCATGTATATATATATATTGCATTCATCATAACTAAAACAAATGAAAGATCTGATACGCATGGTTCATAGGAAAATGTAGGCCAATAACTGGAAAGAATATAGGTGTATGTCTAAGTATAGTATACCTTTTTATCCACATTTTCATAGATAATTTAAAAAGAGAGAATGGCACGGATGATAAAATTATTTTTATTCAACGTGTTCTAGAGGTATGTTCAATTTGAAATAGAAAGGAAAATCATATATCTTTCTTTTTTTCTTCTTTTTTTTCTTTCCGTCTTCCAAACATGAACAATCGACAATACCGCTTACAACTTACACATGTGAGCTCAATGGTCTTCGGTGAGAAGTTTCTTATTCTCCCAAGTCCTAAGCAGTTCAGTAATACGGTTCCAATATTACGGATACTAATATTATTGCAATAAGGTGCATACATAATTATACGTACGTCTCAACTCTAAACAGAATTTTCTAAAATATTATCAAGTCAGATTCCCTTAAAAAATTATATCTATGCACATTTATATATGTCTGTTTATTCATAAATCAGAACAAACCCATTCATAAGTGACTTATAACATCTGAAATCTGTACTCTTACCAGGCTCCTGCCACTTTCGAGCATAAATATTGCTTCCACTCAGAATCCATTTCTTTCCGCACTCTACTGCATGTATACTTAACTTCCTTAAGAAATTGAATATAGGATCTGCGTGAGCATGATCCAGTTTGAAGTAAATAGTATAGTCTATCGAATAATTTCTTTTCCGTATAGAATAACTCCTTCGTCATACCATCAAAAGCTTTCATCCACTGTCTATTTTTGTAGCAACCAGGTATACCATAGGATTTTGCCGTCTTATCCCAGAACAACATGGTACCTTCCTGCATATCAACGTATTTTGTTCTTTCGTGGTTAATCAAACAGTTAAATATATAGAACATGTCTCTCATATTCACTGTACTACCTAACTTGTCAATCATTTCCATGATATGTTTTGAGGAGGCCCGTTGCAGCATTTTGGAATCTTTACGACGTTTTTCATATTCATCTCTCGATGTTCCTTTCTTTGCGCTAGATTTAACTATTCTATTATCTAATGATGATTTAGGTTTAGAACGACTTGACGTTCTTCCAGATGACGATCTTGTGCGGTGATGACTGCTACTTGATCTTTCAGAAAATTGCTTTTCTTGTCTACTTTCTTCCAATTCGTCCTTAGCATCTGAGTAATTCTCTAGCTGCTGCCTATAGTGTGCCCACATAGTCCTTGGAGATATATCGTTCGTACTAACTGACGTACTCATGGTAGGTTCAGTAAAGGAATCATATTGATTTTGGAATCCAGACCACATGGAATCTGATGCAGCTCCAGACTCAAACTGTCCATATGGATCAGAGGACTCCTTGAAGTTGTTTCTACTTCTAGCGCCGATATCTGCACCTGATCCTTTCCCAAATGCTCGACCTAATACAGCGCGTGCCTCAGGGCTTAATTCATCATCTGAATCATTACCTGATGTGCCACCAACCGTAGCCCCCCATCGACCTCCCAGTCCACCACCTGTTTTTGCATGGACACCTCTTAATGTAGCTGCTCCTTTTGTAGCTCCTAAGTACTCCTCATATAAACTATCAAAAACAGGATACTTATCATCTGTTATTTGTTCACCTTGGCTACCTCCTGCAGCTGCTTTGGATCCTAAAACACCTTCATTCATGTTAGAACTTCCAGGCAAACTACCACCAGCATCACCATCTGCACCATCGGAGCTAGCACCACCATCGGCACCTGCAGCACCATCAGCTTCATTACTTTGCATAGAGGCGCGGCTACCGAGAACACTTTCATTCGGAATATTACCCAAGGACGATGTTATACTTCCCATCATACCATTCTTCATACTGCTATCACCATATCTTGACATTCTGTTATGTGAAGCATCTGCCCTATGGGATGCTGGGCCATTGTCAGCCGATGGAGGGAAATTCCCATAAGCACTTTTATAATATGAATCCCAGTTTTCTTCACCATAACCTGTGGCTCCGTTTCCGTTCGCACCCCACATATATGCAGAATCGCCTCCTCCCTGAAACAAGTCGGTCAGATCATTTGTGTTCCCAGTACCATAATTTTGTTGTTCCAAATTTGTCATATCGTACGGATCAAAATCTTTGCCCATATATCCATCGTTTCCTCCCTGTCCGCTTGTAGGATTTGCTTCTGCCAATTGTCTTCCATTACCATTACTCCAATGTCGTTCTGAGACTATAGTATCTTCATATATTTTTCCACTCTGTAAGGAATAAGAGATATGTTATTTCCATCAAGGTATCGTCATAGAAGAGTTATAAAGCATCAATTGTGTTTACAAACTTGAGTACATAGTGGGCCTATGTAGGTAAGGCGATGAGAAAGGAGACATTTGACGCAAGTGCAAAGTTTGAGCATGTAATCTTACTTGTAGAAACATATATACGCAACCCACGAGAAACAGTGTACCAAAATTTGAGAACATGAATTTCCCATAGTTACTTCTGTTATAGTTCTCTTTCTTACATTCCAATATATTTTTGGAATCACGGTTACTATTACCGTTCTTCCTACATACGAATTCCTTGGATGCAACAAATGCCTTAACACTACGAAATATCATTCTCCTTGGATATCACATGTATAAAGGACAAATTTATATCTTATTGAATGATACAATGATTGAGAAAAGAATTCTTCATATTATATCATATGAATGAACGATAACAGTATTCTATATAAATCTGCACTTATGAATATACATTCAAAAATTGATACTAAATTGAAAATATTTTCTCTTGCTTTGCAATTCATCCATACAAGTTTTTATATCTAATCCTTTGAGAAAGGTACAATATATATATAATATATATTTTAAATAAATAAAAAGATCTACTTAGAAGAATATTTTCTAATAAGAATATTGAATTCTTACAGAAGTAGCTCCTAAAAATATAAATGCATATTTGATAAAAATTCTTTACTTTTTTTTGCATTTTTCTTTCTCTTCCAATAATTCAAAACAGTAAGGGCTCCTTTCTTGCTTCTATTTCGGTAGTACAGTTCAGCTGTAGATTAATTTTATGCCCAGAAAAATAAGCAAAAAATTTTTATTTCGATGGTGCCACATTATTAATAAATAAATAACATATTATGCACTCTTATATATAATTTATTTAATTTTAAAAGAGTAAAAGCACATTCATAGGAGTCTACTCTTCTTAATAGCGAAAGTGCACTGCTCTAATAATATTAATAATTTTGTTATTAATGAAATCCGTCTTGGAAAAGAAAAAAAAAAAGAATCGGAAAAACGTTACTTCCTCTTTCTTCTCGCGAAGCCAAAAATAGGGCAAAGATACTTTAATAAGAAAAGTGGCCGCTAAAATTTCCTTCTTCTGCGCAATTTTTATAAATAATGGAGTTCATTCAACTATTGAGAAAAACCTATTGAGCAGCGTTAGGCAAGAACCACCTGCGATGTTAATAGGAGAGCGCGATTATGCTATCTTAACATTATTAAAAATTCATAAGGGTTAAGAATTATATTAAGTGGGACATTCTAAGCCATATATTATTATAATCATAGCAAAATAGGATTTTTTTTCGATCTCTAAATGTGCTGTTTTAAATAGTATTCCTTTTCTTCATCACCCTCCTTCGTAACCATATAAATAAAACCTTTTTCTTTTGTAGGCGACAGAAAATATAGTACCCTCACATGGTCAAATTTTATAACACGTTCTCTATTCTGGACCTTTCATTATATTCTTCATGCACCAAATTGTTTATGGCCGTCCATTATAAGCAGAATCCTTTTCATAGACAATTTTACGATTCGAAAAAAAAACAAAAAACAAATAGAGTTAATCTCATTCCTGTAGAAGAAAGTAATAGTGAAAAGTTGCCATTTCTTGTATTCATCCTTTAGAATAAGTAAAATAATTACGATTTCTTGGATTTCTGGTTCAGTTTATTTCATTCAAATGAGGAATAGTAATTGAACTGTTAAATGTTTTGTAAAAGTTGTTCCAACATGTAAGAACGGAAGAACTTTGAGAAATTCTTCTCCCACCTAGGAAACTTCTTTAGATGACTGGCACAAATTAAGGGAAAATTTTATTAATTATTCAAATCATGAGGATTATGGAAACATTTAAGAAGATGGAATAAAATGAAATAAAATCCGAGAAAAAGGGGGCCCCCCTACATATGAATACAAAGTTAGACGATAATTCAGTGGCAACTGCAGCTCTCTTTTTATCATTAGGTTTTCACAGGTTTGCACATATACACCACTATAGTCCTTATGGAATCTTTATAAGAGAGGAGGGAAGGTTGCGAATTAAAATCCTAAAATTCTCAGATGCAAAAAAGAAATTGGTAACAGAAGCAAAAGAAGCCTATAAAAGTTGCTTCAACAGAAAAATCATTAGCTATACATTCCAATGATATCTTCTATAATTAAGCGCTACTTCTTTATTCGTTTTATACATATAGAAAGCTATACTTCATTACCACATAGTTCTGTAATTATTACTTGTGACCATGTCTGAATTTTCTCCCCATTCTTACGAAAAATGATGTACTCCTATTTGGGCCTACATGTAAAACATTTTAAGCAGAGTTATACATATACATATGGAGTTATGAGGACTTATGTTTCGTAAGCAATTAGGAAAATGAACACTATATCAGAGTTCCTGAGTTAGGACGGTGCACAACCTACATGAACAGGAGCAAGAATGAAAAGACTGCTTCCTAAATGCTAAAGTTTATAAAGGACAGAGCTCCACTTAAGCAGGTGTAGAAACATATTGCTTTATCCCTTTACAAGGTGAAAGAAGTAAATTGCTTCCTGAAGTCTATCTCTGGGTAATGCAGACAATTTGATTCTTATATGGCAACTTGTACTCCCTGTTACGGCACTTATGCATTATGGAAATGAATATATTTCAGCAAGAATAATAATCAATAAGTCGCATATTCTTCGTATATATACGTGTGATGAAGGCTTCTTCCCTAATTTATACATAGTTAAAATGATAAGTGTATCTTATGCTCCTAAGTTTTACTGATTTATTAATAATTCGTTTTTTCAGGTGAACCTTAATTTTTAGTCACCCTTTAAGGAATTCTTTCTCAATCTTTCTTAGGCCATTGGTCATTATTAACCTTCCTAGTGGAGAGCAGCATTTTATTATCATGCTTTCTCCTATATTAATGTTATTTCATTATTCATATTGGAAGTGTTAGCAATAAATAAAAAAAAAAATTCTCATGGTAAATAACATGTCACTGCATAACCAATCTTAGAAGTTGTAGAATCCATTAGTTCACGTGATATGTTTGTTGCGAGCTCGTTATAATACCCCCCTCTATTTTTGTGCACTGGAGAATTAAGTTACGAGAACAAGAGTTCCTATGGACTACTCGTTCCACATGTGTTCCGGAATTTAAACAATATGTACATGGCTATTCAAATGGCTAAGGATTGCGGTACATGTAGAAATTAATGAATTTGAATTCTTATTCTACAGTAGACATATGCGTAAAATGTATATATACTTTCACGCATAGTTTATATTTGAACATAGAAGATCCCTTAATGGGGGGGGGGGGGTTCCAACATTAATTTTTAAGCGTTTCTCACCCTATTTTCTATATGTTTCAAGAAAAACATCAAAATGATTTGCACGGCTGCACGCTTTTACCATTGTCTGAGCAATCAATATTTACAATGAGCCCTTTTACATAAGTATGAACCTTTTTTTAAAAGGACAAAAAATTGTTAATCGCGTTACTGATGCTTCTGTTGTTCCTTTGTCCACACATTTTAGCGTGACATAGAAATGTTCATATACAGAACATTGTTATTTGTAGTAATGGAACTGAAAGATGGAACTCTCTACGACGACATCACTCCTTGGTATTATTGAAATATTATAATAAAAAAATGCTTATTCATTCCCCCCGCTCATGGGGAAATTGTAAACAATAGTTCAAATGTATTAAAAAATTCGAACAGAGCATTTAAATTATAACGTAGAAAGGGAAAAACGACTGTTCTATAACAATTATAGTAACCTTCTTATATTAAAAATTCATATAATATTTTCCTCGGGGATATGTTCATATAAAAGTATAGTGTAGGAGAGTGAATTACTAAAGGGAAATTCTGGATAGCACTTTTGGATTTATTTTATCTGTCTTATGGGAAAATGGTATCATCACCATTGAGGACTCTCTATTACCACTCCCTAAAGAAGGAACGACTCCATATTAATCCTCCTGTGGATTCCTTGTAAATCAACTGAAATCCAGAGCTTTTTTATTTTTCTGGAATGAATCATTGATAGGAAAGATGACAATTTGGTCAAGATGAACATGAAAAACATGACAGTCCATTCATACATTATGTCGTATATACCACAGGTAAGAATATTATAATACACAAAGCTTGTTTATCAATCAAATTTGCACTTCTGAGATTATTATACGATGCATAATGCAATCAAGATGAACGTACTAACAGGGAGAAGTAAATAAATTAAGAATGAAACATATAGTATTAGAAGAAGTGTATGATTCGGTGTTAATGTTCCTGTTCTTGGTTAAAAATATGCGGTCCATAATTTATAGCGAAGGCATAATGGACATTATATGGTGAAAAATAAATTTTTGATCTAACCATTCGTATCACCAGAACTTAGAATAGGTTTAATAATATAATATCTAACACAAATAATTTCATAGACTATAAACCTATTAAAACTAGTTTAGAACTTTTTAAACGTTTTTTTCCGACAAAGGCACCACTAACAAATAAATAATAAACGTCACAGAAGATCACGCATTACGAAATGAATACTTCAAATAAAATTAAATAATAATTAATAAATTTTTTGTATTAGAATTCAATCATGAAGAGAATTTAGTTTTGAAGAATATAATTTCCCAAAAAAAAATATCAGAAAAAAGTTAAATAAAAATAAGGAGATGATAATAATCTTTTCTAAAAACTTAAAAAAAAAATAGGAACAGAATTAATATAATATTTGTATAGAAACAAATTAAAAAAAAATTTATTCCAATTATAAACCACAATAAAGCTGAGACATATATAATAATTATTGTACTACGAAAGTATATATCTAACCCCTTTTTTTCTCTTGTAAATGAAACAGGAACAAAATTATTATTATTTCATAAAAAAAATACATTAAAAAAGCTTTACTTCAAAATTTAATATTTACAAAGCCATAATAACACATTATTGTCATTAACAGGAGTAAAAAATCCTCACAGTATTATATAATTAATTAGTACTCATCGCCCCGAAGAAAAAAAGTTTTATATTATGATTGCCTTAACTTAATAATAAAAAGAAACTCATAACAAAAATGATCTCATCTGGCTACCTATCTTTTGTGTCTAACAATAATCACACTTGATTTCCTCATCGCCTAATCACAAATAAACATATTACGTTATTAAAAAACTTGATAATTTAAAATTGTTAAAATATATAATAAGAAGCATTCATACATAATTAATGCTGCAAATGCAATATTAATTAAATAGAATTGCTAATTATTACTTTTATAATTATTTGAAGAAACA